GACAAGAGCACCTGATTCTCGAGTTTGATTGTTTAACCAAGGTGAACGGTAAACGGGCCCACAGTGGGTTTTGTAAGGAGCAATACTGTCAAGAATGGTAAGGCAGTGATCATTAAAAGAGTCAACCAGAAGTTCCACATCATCATCATCATCATCATCATCAGGAGGTGTTGTAAATGAAAAGAGGGAAGAAACTCTGCAACTACAAAACTGTCAATAAAGCATCTGTGCTTACAGGTAACCTGAGGAAAAGTCTCCAAATAACAGGAAATATTAAAAGAGACAACCTTATGGTCACTGAAAACAACATGTTTTATATGTAGATTATTAAGAGTGAGTCCATAAGTAAAAACCAGGTCTAAAGTGTGGCCTGCAGTGTGAGTAGGCTCAGACACATGCTGTGAGAAGTTAAGATCCATAATATTAAGAAAGTCCAGAGCGGGATGGTTTGTTGGATCATCGACATGAAAATTAAAATCCCCAGAGCTGATGATCATATTTAGCTTCAGTGTAGAAGATAAAAAGTCCTGAAAGTCTGAGAGAAAAGATGAAGCAGGTTCAGGTGGTCGATAAACCAGGATGCCATATAGAGACTCAACTTTGTCTATTCGGACCATGATCATCTCAGAGGAGTTGTAGGTAGATGAAGTGATCATTTGACATAAAAAAAGTCCTCTTATAGATGACAGCTGTGCCACCTCCACGGCCTGTCATCCGTGGCGCAGATAAAAAAGAACAGCCCTCAGGACAGAGTTCCAGGAGATGTGAAACATCATTTTCACGCTGCCATGTCCCAGAAATAAACAAAAGTCTAAGCTCTCTGAGCGAAACAAGTCATTTAAAATGAAGGACTTATTGGCAACAGAGCGTGCATTTATTACCGACATTTTAGCGGAGGAAGCTGCTGACCGTGTAGAGGGGTCCACAGCAGCACCAGGATGACGCGGCAAGCTGCGCAGTCAGGATTCCTCCTGGGGTGAACTTTGGATGCCCACAGCTTCAGGTGACAACCTGTTTGAGAAACTTCTGGGAGCGTTTGAACTAGTCCAGCACCAACATATCTGAGGTTGAATCACCTGGCCGCACCCGATGCTGCCTCGTTTTTCCAAAGCCGACGGAGCAGCACGAAGAAGCCAGCTCTGTTCCCCCGCTTCCTTCACCTGCGTGTCCAGAGCAGGGGCAGATCCACAGGTAAGAGGGGAGACGCCAGGAAGGACACCGGGTTCCAGCGGTGGTGGAAATGTAACACCGTTTTGATGACACTGAAGGTTGACCATCACAGACTTGACCACCAGTAGCGAGTGGCGGTCATATGTCCACAAGGAAGCCACCCCAGACAGAAACATGAATATAACATATGAAGTAAGCAAACAATCTGGCAGAGGCCAAGCCAAACACAGGCGCCATTTTGCAACGTCACACGTTACCTGAAATAACACTTACTTCAGGTGGCTTCAGGTGACACTGCAGGTGATTTCAGGAGGCTTAAGGTGACTTACTTCAGATGACTTACTTAGGATGACTTACTTCAGATGACTTACTTAGGATGACTTACTTCAGGTGGCTTCAAGATGACTTACTTCAGGTCACTTACTTCAGGTGACTTACTTCAGGTGACTTACTTCAGGTGACTTACTTCAGGTGACTTATTTTGGATGACTTACTTCAGATGACTTACTTCAGATGACTTACTTCAGGTGACTTACTTCAGGTGACTTACTTCAGGTGACTTACTTCAGGTGACTTACTTCAGGTGGCTTACTTCAGGTGACCCACTTCAGATGACT